AATTAGTCAATATCTATGATATTTGACTCAAATTTAACGATCATTTTTAAGAAAAAAAAAGTTAAAAAATCAAGTAAAAATGTTGTTCGTACCATGATATAACAATCATAGTTTTAATTCAGAATCACTTAGCGATATTTAAAATGTACATTTATCAAAAAATCAATCAAACAGCATGCGCATAACAAAATGGACCTTATCCTTTCATTCATAAGGTTGAAAATCACTAAAATGGAAAAACAAAAAGAAATTACACTTACGTGTTGGAGTCTCAGTAGGTAGATCTTCTAAAGGCGCGTGAATTTTTGGAACAGATTCTCTTACGCCAAAAGTCAATAAATGTTGACGAAATAACCTGAAAAAAAAAACTTAAATTAAAAAAAGGCAATGTAAACTAAATAACGATTTTTAAAGAATATTCGTACATTTTGAGGACATAAGACAAATATGTGTTTAAAAATTATTGTTTATTTCGTTATAAATATTTTTTTTATTGTTTTATGAGATTTTTTTGACATTTTTTAAGCGTTTGAAGTAATTCTTTAGACTTATAACGATTTAAGCTAGATTTACACTTAAGCTTATTCTTTTTTACTACCTTAACAAGTATATAAAACATTTTTTTGCAAAAAAAAGGTAATTCAAGACAAAAAATACGCTTATTTTGTCTTGATTTTTTTCCACTCACCTGTGTGCCTTTAGAACATTCAACCAGGTCCTAAAGACATCTGGAGTCTTAGCTCTGAGGTGGTATATGAACTCATCAGCGTCGATATCGATACGTCGCCGGCGCGCCTTCGCCGATATAACTGAGAGGCCGACATCGACTGAGCCGTGCAGCCGACCGGGAGCCACATCCGACGGAGACCGCGCATATACCAAAATACCACCATCTACTACGAAGAAACGCTGAAAAACAAATAACCCACTGACCACAAAACTATAAACGAAAGAATCAGGATTGTGTTATTTTTTCACATAGCTCATAAGAAACTGTTTTTGTGACAACAATAAAATTCTTTTCATTCATTTTTTATTTAAATAGATCTATGGTCTCTGTCTACTCCTCTGGCATGTGTTATCTTACTAATATTAAAAATTCGAAAGTTTAAATGGATGGATGTTTGTAAGAATTTGTAGTCTAAACCGCTGCACAGACCTCGATGAAATGAGGTATAGACGTAGAAGATAGTTTGGAC